ATGGTGAATAAGCCAGATGTGCTAGACGAGACAGGGCAAGAGGATGCCGCAGTGCATGCAACTCGACAATCGAAATGGGCAAAGGAAGCTGGAGCAGGCGTTCGGGAGGATTTGTTTTTCGTTGTGCTGCCAGTGTCTCGCGAAGTGAAGTGGCCTCTTGACCATCTGCTTCACTCTCTAATGATGTCTAGACCAGCTGGTGAACCGACGAGCCTTGCGCACCTGGCACGGGGCACGGCCAGAAGGATTCGTGACCAACTCGAAGGCGGGAAGGGGGGTAGCACTGCGGGCCTCGCTGGGCACATGTAGGAGGAGGTTCGAGAGATCGGCATACTTGAGAAAGCAGGGAGAGGATGAAGCAGATGAGGGTGAGGCAATGGATGAGGATGAGGAGGGGGATGATGAGAGATACGTCGGTGTGTTTTCAGCCGAACTCGGCGCGCGGGCGGACTAGAAGGCTGGTAGGAAAATACGCGAGCTCGGGAAGTCAGGGAATCTCCGATGACCTCATAGACCCTTAGAGAACCTCAGATAACCTCAGATAACCTAAGAAGCTTCAGAGCACGACACCCGACGAGAACAGCAGAGATTCACTTGAGGAGGCAGGACGCTGACCAGGGTGAGAAGGAGGAGGAGGATTAAGATGTAGCTGAGGCCGAGGAGGACGAGGAGATGAGTTGTTGCGTTGTCACGCGAAGTCCTCCTAGCCCACTGTCCGCCTGCGCAGGGAAAGGGAGGGAGGCATGCTCTGCCGCGACCACTGGGCAGCAGTCATTGCCAGGGTGCCGGAGAGGTTGCAGGAATACCGATGGGAGCAAATCCAGAAGATCGTAGTCAGGAGGCTTGCAGACTATGATTGCCGCATCATGGGAAGACTCAGATCAGACCCACACGATCTCCTGAACCTCGTCAAATCCCCCTGCAACGGCTGACTGCCAGAGCCGTCGTGATGTTGCGAATCGTTTGCTGACCACTGATCCTCGGGACTTGCGCGTTACCGCAAGGAAAGTCAAGTATTTATTCGAAAAAGAGCGGGTGCAGGCCATTTGCGAAGGCACCCTCAGTATGGAACTCTGGGCCCCCGTCAGATTTGTGGCGCTGCATTGGAAGGGGGATGCGCAGGGAGGGGATCCACAATATTATCCAAACAGCAGTACATCGGGCACCGAAAATATCCCTTCCATTATTGGATGCGCGCGTGGCGCTTCGCAAATATTCTAGGTTGGGCGCTCGCGGTGCCTCGCGCAAATGGTCTGATGTAGCCCCAACAGTCAACCGAAGAAACACTTGCACATCACGATGAGATAGACGACGAACTTGCAGTGCCAGAACGCTTCAGCCCCCCTTTACCCACGGCGACTCTTGATGACACGAGTGCTGGCATTGCAGTGGACCCATCTCGGTCTCAAACCCCATCCCTCTTGTGGGCGACCAGGTATCGCAGAAAATTGTTTCGGGCATTGAAGCAGGATGGCGACGATTCCGCGGCGCATGTGATCACGTTTGGTGGCGGCGGCGATGATACTTCAAGCTGGATGCTTGTGCTTTGGCAGGGGGGGGGTCTGGACATGTCGCAAAATGTACGCTTACGGCCGACAGCGTTCTGGTTGTCACGCGTCCTGTGCAGACTCTGCCTGCGCTACATGCGTTGGCGACGCATCATGCGGTTTGTACGGCGTCAGACCCTCGAGCGATTGCTGTCTCTCTGTCTCGGGCGAAGTGGGGCCGCGTGCACTTTGGGGAAGCCGCCCCATCAGCAGAGCCGATTGCAGGAGGGGGGGCTGAACATATGTTTGCATTGGGCGATTCCCCACCTACGCCACGGCCCAAGAAGAAGGCTGCCCACCCGCGAAAGAAGCCGAAGGAAGACGCCATGCCCATCTCATACGCCAAAGCAGAGCTCGGCTATGATGACGAGGATGAGCCTGACTTGGAAGGAGAGCTCGAAAAGCTCATGGCTGATCTCGACGGCACCGATGACACTTTCGATCTTGGGAGACTCGACGGCGTCGATGTCTCTCTTGGTAGAAAGGTGACCACCAAAGACATTGCGGCGGGCGCTGCTGCTTTATATGATGCTGGTTTCCAGGGCGAGCTCAAGGATATCATTGGTGATCGCACAGACGGGGGCCACATGAGAAGCGACCGCGATGACATCATTGATGCTTCGATCGCCAAGAGCCTTCATGAGGTCGCCAAGACTGTCACAGCTTCAACTCCAAAGGCGGCCGAGGATGACAAACCCCCAGCTCCTCCACTTCCGCGCCCTGAGCCAGAGCCTGCCGGGCTGCCGGCTGACTTGGGCGGCTACAAGATTTGGCGTGCAGCAGCTGACCTCTCAGCCCAAGCATTTGAACACATGCATTCGGCAGTCGAGACAAAGTCAGTGGGGCAGGGCGGGGAGGTGTCGTTGGTGCTGATATCTAGAGAGGGCGCCCCGTCTGTCGAGTATGAACTGGCGCGACCCGATTGGCAGGAACGGCCAGAGGGTCAGGGATGACGACGGTCAACTCATTTACTCAATGGTTATTGGGAAGTGGGCTCAACCGTGGCGAAGCTACGCCGATGCCGTGATTCTACACCCTGCAGTGGGTCAGCGCATGCGCAAGGAGGGGAGGGAGGGGCGCGAGAGCACAAGATGACGTGGTAGGATCGGATAGTCTGTACATGAACACACCACGTTGTTGAGTTGAGGTAGCAGTATGTGAATATATTGCTTGGGATGCATATCATATCTGCCACTTGCTTGCAATGGGCTGGTGGGGGGCTCTGGGCAGATCCCGAAGAGCCTCGGCGGCGGCCTTGGGCCTGGTCGACCTGTCGTGCCAGACGAGGTCATCCTGCTAAAGAGGATGGCGGCTGCAGCTGCCCGTGCTCTCGAAGGGGATCCTGGCGCGCCTGTGGACCCATGCTACATCTGTGGTGGCATTGCAGCAGAGGGCCTCGTGAGGTGTTGTATTTGCATGCTTGTATCACACTCCAGTTGTTGTCCGAAGGCGTTGCCTGACGCAAGGAGTCCAAGGTTGACGCCCGCACTTGTAATTCCCGAATGCATCCGTTTGGTTGTCGACAGCCACCACGCGTGTTCGTTGTGCAACCAATGGCTGGGCACGAGCGCGTGAGGGATAGGGGCGTCGTAGCAGAAGTCTCGGCTTGATCCCACTTCGCGGCATATGGAGGGAAGAAGAGGAGGAGGAGGAGGAGGAGGAGGAGGAGGAGGAGGAGGAGGAGGAGGAGGAGAATAAGGAGGATGATGATGAGAAGGAGGAGGAAGATGAGGAATGGAGGGACGACGGGGGCTGGTCTCTATGACCGCGTTTGGCTGTCGAGGTTTTCCAGCCGTGGTCGGCGAACTGGCGCGCCGCAGCGTACTGGCCCTGCTGCTCCTCCTCCTCCTCCTCCTAAGACCACACTCATTTTCATACGTATCGGACGCTCGCGGAGAACACGTTCAGAGTCGTTGGCCCTCCCATTCCATATGTTTTAGATCGAGCTTCCCAAGGGCGACAGGTCCGACCTCATCGGCGTGAGTTTCTTCGTTCTTCCTTTGGCTCAGTGGAGTGATGATTATTGCTGTACACGGCTGTTGGTTGTGACGACTATCTCCAGTTGCCTAGAAGGCTTCGGCCCCGGCTTCTGTGAAGGCGGTGGGGACATGCGCTCTGCGCATAGCTCCACTTACTCCAACCACTCACCCAGCTACCCATCATCGACGTGGGGGTCGACTCGTGGATGGGCGTAGGCGCCCACCTGTGCGTGTACTAGGCCGCGCCCCTGTGCGCTGCCGCCCTCCCCCTTCCTCTCTCTTTGTCGTCCCTCCTGGTCCTCCTTGCCCTCTCACACTTTTTCTAGCTTGCGGGGCCCTGGGCCCCCCAATGAGAATGAGGAGGAGTTTACGATGAGGTTTCCAGATGTGTTTCGGGGGCCGAGGGGACCGCTCAGGGCAGGTGGAGCGCCTCCGAGGCCAGCCAGGTGCAAGCAGCACCAGACGGCCACGGCCTCTTGTGAGGCCTGAGGGGCAACGCCCCCTGCCCAGGGACTGATATAAATTGCGACGGTCTTCATGCACAGGTATGAGAGGCTGCACGGTGCGTGCTACCCCCACCTCGGATCGTGAACGAACGAGACGATTGTGAGAGGTATTGTCTAGAGCCAGGCCGACGGCTTGGCGCGAGTGGCAGGCCAGACCGAGACCACACGCAAGGCCGAGTCTTCTTCTTCTTCTTCCTCCTCCTCCTCCTCCCCCTCCCCCTCCTCGTCATCATCATCATCATTCTCCCCCTCCTTCACATGCTCCTTCTCCTGTTCCTCCTCCTCCTTCTCCTCCTCCGCCTCCTCCTCCTGAGCGAGGTTCAGTTCTATTTAAGGCGTGTGAATGTCTGCATCGCTCGCCGACGTGCTTGCTCTAGCGCAGCGCACTCGACATCGACGGCTCGTGCAGCGTGCCTGGCGGTCGTCAGAATCTATCACGAGTGTCTCGATCGTCCTTGTCTCCAGATGCGGCAGGGACGCAGCGGCGTCCCATTTCCAACCTAGCCTTGCCAAAGCAATGGGGTGTTGTGTGGTTGTTGTATGTAGACTTTGAGCTCACGAAAGCTAGGTCCTTGCTTACTGTCGGTGTTCTCTTGGAGCCCTGGGGCTCTCTCAGGGCTTGCTTGGAGCCTTCTAGAGGCCCCCGTGGCCCTTACGAGGAGGAGGAGGAGGAGGAAGAGGGGAAGGAGGAGGAGGAGGGAGGAGGAGGGGGAGGGAGGATGGGGGGGGAGGAGGAGGAGGAGGAGGAGGAGGAGGAGGAGGAGGAGGAGGAGGAGGAGGAGGAGGAGGAGGAGGAGGAGGAGGAGAGGAAGGGAGTGGGAGGAGGAGGAGGAGGAGAGGAAAAGGAGTGGGAAGGAGGAGGAGGAGAGAGAGGAGGAGGAGGAGGAGGAGGAGGAGGAGGAGGAGGACGTTCCTATCGACACATGCCATCGGTCAAAAGACGTTCTTCCAGACAATGCCTCCTGTCGGGGGTCTTCAAGAGAGCTACAGGAGAGCATTGCGATGATCAGGAATCAGGAAGCTCCCGCGATGCCACACAATGTACCCGAATAGAGCCCACGAGTCACGAGCCATCATCTTCCCGACGCAGACCCTCTGTGGGGAGCTCCTCCCGGCGCATACCCACTGTCGGGAGCTCCTCCCGACGCAGACCCTCTGTCGGGAGCTCCTCCCGACGCAGACCCTCTGTCGGGAGCTCTTCCCGACGCATGCCCACTGTCGGGAGCTCCTCCCGGCGCAGACCCCCTGTCGGGAGCTCCTCCCGACGCAGTCCCTCTGTCGGGAGCTCCTCCCGACGTAGACCCTCTGTCGGGAGCCCCTCCCGACGCGGACCCTCTGTCGGGAGCTCCTCCCGACGCGGACCCCCTGTCGGGAGCTCCTCCCGACGCGGACCCCCTGTCGGGAGCCCCTCCCGGCGCAGACCCCCCGTCGGGAGCCCCTCCCGACGCGGACCCCCTGTCGGGAGCTCTTCCCGACGCAGACCCCCTGTCGGGAGCTCCTCCCGACGCAGACCCCCCGTCGGGAGCTCCTCCAGACGCGGACCCCCTGTCGGGAGCCCCTCCCGACGCCAACCCTCTGTCGGGAGCTCCTCCCGACGCCGACCCCCTGTCGGGAGCTCCTCCCGACGCAGAACCCCTGTCGGGAGCTCCTCCCGACGCGGACCCCCTGTCGGGAACTCCTCCCGACGCAGGCCCCCTGTCGGGAGCTCCTCCCGACGCAGGCCACCTGTCGGGAGCTCCTCCCGACGCAGACTCCTTGCCGGGAGCCCCTCCCGACGCACCCCCCCTGTCGGGAGCTCCTCCCGACACGCACCCTCTGTCGGGAGGTCCTCCAGACGCCGACCCCCTGTCGGGAGCTCCTCCCGACGCCGACCCCCTGTCGGGAGTTCCTCCCGACGCAGACCCCCTGTCGGGAGCTCCTCCCGACGCAAACCCTCTGTCTGGAGATCCTCCCGACGCGGACCCTCTGTCGGGAGCACCTCCCGACGCAGACCCCCTGTCGGGAACCCTGTCGACGCAAACCATCTTTCCGCAGCCCACCTCGGCTCACGCTCAGCAAGCTCGATTCCTTTGCCATCCCTGGCCACCGTCTGAATTAACATACAGACACACGCGCCACTGTGTGATCGCCAGGTGATTACCATGTCGAGCCTCGCTCCATCCAGCGCAGTCGTGCCGTCCAGCGATTCAGTGCCGCCGCCGGATGACCTACCGATCCCTGACCTGCCAGAAGAGTTCAACCCCGCAATAGGGAACTTTGAGGAGTGTGCGTCGTGCGACGTCCGTTGCAAAGGCTTGGATGGAGCAGCACGCTTGGACTGGATCATACGGACATACGTTCAGAAATCGTCGAGCAATCTTTTCGTATGGAATGCGAAGACTGGTCGACTGCGCTGCACGAGGAATGCCATCAATGCGCGGCAGCAGAAATCTGTGGCGGTACGCTACGCAAAGGGGATCATCAAGGGCGGATTGGTGGGCGCCTTTCGGGGCAGGATGTGGTATGTCCCATCGACCAACCAGGTCGTTGACGAGATGGCAGGTGACCAGATCATTGGAGGTGGAACTCTTGTGGACGGGCTCGTCATAGCTCGCAAGCTGGATCCGAACAACAAGCACGTCAAATACATCTTCCATCACGGCATCACTGAGACCTTCATGTTGCACCCGCACACCCCCTATCGACGTGCTGAAATGGATTCGTGTTAGCGCTAGCTTATATCATAGCGGATCCGATGCAACCGTGGTAGAGTATTATGATGAGGTTCCCGAGACCAACTCAGGCTGGGAGAGGTGGAGGGAGAAAACAACGGATCACGAAGAATTCCTGTCCGAAGAAAGGGCATCATACATGTGAAACACAGCGCGAATAATGTATTTAAACACATCGCTCGGACTTCTTCGGGGGCAAGCCATGGCAGTTCTTTGACAACATCAAAAGCTTTTACAACGATTTGAATGACCTGGGAGCTTATGCGTCTTACAAGGCCCTGCTGGAAGAGAAAGCCAACTTCCTCGAGCCCAGGATCAACACGGAGTTGATCATTCGTATCAATCACGACTTGCTGAGAATGTTGCCCACTGAGTTCCAATCCTACTGCCACGCAAGCATGTGCAAGATCCTGGTGCTCGAGGCTTTGAAATTCGTGACCCTATCCTGCAGAACCCCGACGACTACGACGCCGCGGGCAATCAAAAGCCCGAGGTCCCCTGGGTGTTCGATGACAGCAACAAGAGGTTCAAGTTGAACTGGCTCATGGCGCCAATGGGAGGGTCGAAGCTGTACGACCCAGATTGCAAAAAGAAGGGGCGCAACGAAGCTGCTCTGGATGAACCGCCGCTGGAGGAGCAGCACGACGCTGAGCGGCAGCAGGAGGGCGATGCCAAGGGGAAGGGCAAGGGCGGCAAGGACAAAGGCCGAGGCAGAGGCCGAGGCCGGGGACGCGGCCGCGGGCAGAGCACTGGCGTT